AGTACAGGATCATTTACTCTCCCACCGTCGGCGATCCAATCGATGAATACGTGAGTCTGACTCTCGTTCATTTGAACATTTTGTAATCTGACCAGGGTGGAGTGTGAGCTTCGGCTTTCTTCTTTAGGACGGTGCTAGGGTTAGAGCTGAGTCCTTGACTTCTGTGTGTCAGTTACATTCTCTATGACTTTCTCTGACATGAGATTGGGATCACCTGAATGTGCCCAGTATGGCCTTCCATACTACAGAGAATCAATGTCTTTGGGCTCAATTTTTATTCTAAATATAGATGGACAAAAACTGTCTTATCTTAGGAAATGCATATTTCTAACCACCTACCTATACCATAGGAATTAATTCTGGTGAAACATGGTACCAATTATTCTGAGCTAACTAAATTAATGGTCAAATGCTGTGACTATTCCAATCTCACCTTTTCTTTAAATCTAATTTTTTTACAAGGTCTTTCTTAAATATCCAGGAAAATTGATCTCCCTTTTCTCTAAATTTAACATTTTTCAGTACACTTTTGTTTTGGAATATACATACTCTAATATCAGCTTCAAACTTTCTGAGTGTCATGTTTTATCTCTTCAGAACCAGAGTCAAGTTTCTGGTAGCATAGCCCTTATTATGCATGTCCATTTGTTATGGATGGAAAATGTCAGCACTTGCTTTAAAATTCAGTGATAGCTTAAGTGGAAAATTACACATAGTGCTGATTATAAAGCAGTTTTGTCTGTGGTTTGCAACCATTTTGCTACATACGTTCTATTTGATCATTCTTCCATTATTCCTATGTTATAAAATATTTCATCTACTTGAACTTGATATATTAAGCTTTAATTTAAGTCCCACCCCATTTTTATTAATCTGACACACATGTAATTGCCATTTAGTGTTTCTGATCAAAATGGGATGAGCCGGATTGCCACACTTGGTTTGCCAAAGCAAAGGCGCTCGTACCTTAGTGTTTGTTCAGTCTTCCCAGGTACAACTAAGCAATTTCCCTTCAGTTTCTGAAAACTGTAAAAATATAATTTCTTTCCCCAATTTACCATTTGCAAGCAAGGAACTCTACTCTGGGAATCACTGGCATAAGTGATTCACATTATTTATGGAAGCAAAGCTTAAGGGGGGGGGGAGAGAGAGAGAGAGAGAGAGAAATAACTAGTTGATTCGTTTCCTCTCCATGGAGGAAGTTAAATGTATTTTCAATTTCTTATTTTTCACATCATTAGTATCAGCCAAACTGATACTCTTGAGAGCAGAAACCCTCACCAATGTATTTCCAGTGGCTGGTACCATGCCTGGCTCACAGTGGGTACTTGGTACATATTTGTTGAAGGAGTACACAGAAATGCAACATGTACCAATGAGAGATGAAGGAGAAAAAAATACTACTGAGCACTGCAGTACTAAGTAATGTGTACGGAGGTGTTGTACGCATTATTGCTTTTTATCCTCACAGTTTCCTTCAGAGGTGCTAAGTCATAAAGCTGGTAAATGGCTAATCTGGGATTTGAACCCAGATGTGTTTACTCTAAAGCCATTCTCCCATGCCACACACAGGCAGTGTGGGTGATCTGCCTTGCCATGAGCTATTGTGTAACAAAAATAAAATATGAAGAAAACATTACTGCTTATGGGAATCTATAAAACAATATTGTCTTTTGATCTGGAAGTCCTCTAGCTGATAATAAACTTATAATTTAACTTCCTCTATAGACCACTGTCCCAGGCAGGAGGAACAATGTAATACTGCAGCCCCTGCAATCTGATACTCCATATAAAATTACTGTTATTCCTATTTATGAAGATGGAGATGGTAGCCATCTAACAGGAAATGGAAGAACTGGTAAGTGTCTTAGACCTTTTATAATCTTTAAATGTTGCCTTTACCAATGCATCTCAAATACTACATTGGTATTGCATTAACTTTATATTAGGTATTGTATTTTGTCAAATTGATATGAGAACAGAACTTGTATTTTAACTGTTTAAAGGTCCACTTGAAGAAAAAGGAGAAAAAATCTGCATATTTTGCTTTGCTTGAGATAGTTTTACTTCTCCTTTGGAAAACCATTTCTCTGAGTCTGTTTTAGTTTGTGTGGTGTCAGTTAAGCCTGTAGCTGCTAAGTCAATTTAGTATTAGCAAAAAATCACTCCACCATGATAGAATTTTAAGTCATAAATAACTGAGATGTTTAGCATTTACCTTCTCTCTTTACAAATGTAGCTTTTTTTACAAAAATATTTTTTTCTATTGTAACAAGTACTTTACAAAGAACTACCAGTGCGGAGGCCCGCTCCCCCTTTCTCGCCTACACTGGTGGCAGTTGCTTGGGGTTTAGAGCAAAGGTTCTCCAGTTTGGTTGTGTTATGCCCAGATTTCAAGATCCCCAAGAAAACCACACCAGGGAGCCAGGCAGTCCGATGCAAAAGCAGAGGGTCCTTTATTTTCACCTCCCCCTCCTGGCCGACGCAGCGACTGGAAGCAGAGTGCCCCCACCGTGGGAAAAACAGGGTTTTAATAGGGGGTGGAGTGAGGGCAGGGAGCTGACTGTGGGCCCTGCCGATTGGCCAGGCGCAAGTCGGGTCTTGTTACACAGGATGTGGTCATCTCTATGGCGTGCATGTCCCTTGATTGTCATTGGTTAGTTTAAAGAAATCCCGGGCATGGCCAGCAGGGGCCTGGACTTCCGGGGGTAAAAAGGTACTTTCCTGAGCACATGGCAGCTGCCCCAACATGGAGGGTACGGGGCAAGATGGAGGGCATAGCCCTCGTCCTTTCAGGTTGCTCATTGGAATCACCTGAGGAGCTTTAAAAACTGCTTTGCCTGGGGGCCAGCCCCAGAGTTGCTGATGTAACTGGTATGAGGTGTGCATATGCTGCTGATACTCCGATGTGCACCCAAGGCTGAGAGCCACGCTTCAGCATAAAGGCATGCTGGGCTACAGATCTGGGTTCTGTTACTGGTAAGTATTGGCATTCCTTTTTTTTTTACTTTGTTCAGCATGATTTCAGGATCCTTACTATGCTCAGTTGCCCAAACTCCTTTTGTGCTTAAATGACTTTGGCAACGCTATAGAATTTGAAAGATCTACCATTCGCAAGCTCAGAAAAAAGCAAGACTAGAGTGGTTTCAGCTCAGTCTCCCAAGACCAGGAATTTACATATTTATTGACACCTATTGTCTATAGGACTGAGTCAAAGGAGACTCGGGTTAGTGATTTGAATTTAAAATCAAGATGATTTAATTTAACAACTTCCCATTTTTAAAACTTCCCCTTAGGTTTTAGAATATATTTTGATATTTTTCAGGGGAAATGGCACATTTCAGAATTTTGTGCTTATCAAAATATATTAAAAAAATCTTTCCTAGATATTGAATTTTCCAGGAAGGCTCAAAGCCATTTTCTAGTTGTTCTTCTGAAAAAGTTTTTCAAGATGAATTCCTTATTTGTGTAATTCTATGAATAATAACTCAGCATCTACTTCACATGCTGCCTAACTGCATTGATTTTTAGCACGTGGAGCTGGAGGCAGTGCCTGTGATAGTTTGAGGGTTTACTCTTCAGTGGTTGGCAAACCGCGGCTCGGCAAATTGCGGCTCTTTGGCTCCTTGAGTGTGGCTCTTCCACAAAATACTGACTTCTGCACATGGGCCACAAAGTTTCAATCGCACTGTACGTGCAAGCCCACATGTGGTATTTTGTGGAAGAGCCACACTCACGGGGCCAAAGAGCGGCATCTGGCTTGCGAGCCGCAGTTTGCCGACCACTGTACTAGGTTATGTTCATGGAGAGTAGAGCAGTGCTGGGAAAGAACCCATCTTAGTCATGAGCTAGCTGTATGGTCTTGGGAAAATCATGTCTTTTTTTAAAAAAAATATATTTCTTTATTGATTTCAGAGAGGAAGGGAGAAGGAGAGAGAGAGATAGAAACATCAAAGATGAGAGAGAATCATTGATCGGCTGCCTCCTGTACACCCCCAACTGGGGATCGAGCCCACAACCCAGGCATGTGCCCTTGGCCGGAATTGAACCTGGCACCCTTCAGTCCATAGGCAGATGCTCTATCCACCGAGCCAAGCTGGGTAGGGCTGGGCAAATCATATCTTATTATGTGATTAGGTGGTTGGACTAGGTAGTGTCTAAATTGCTTGTTGGCTCTAATAATCTGTACTCTCTAACGACCTAAAAGTGGTATGAGATTTCCTATTTTCTGTCATTCTGCATCATATAACAGCTCTGGAAATCACCAGTTCCCGAGTCCATTTGAGTTGCAGTTTGAATTTGAAAAACCCCTAAGCTTTCTGTTGAACATTTTAATATCTTTTGTTTTCTAAATAAGGAATTTATGGGATATCATTAAATTTCTTGCATGGGATTATACTATTAATACTTATAATCTATGCTCATCAAGTTCTTTGCTCTCCCTGTATGTCAATAAAAGGTCAGTAACATGTGCCAATATTTGTTTGCAGTGGGACTACTTCCACCTCAGAACATACACATCTCTGATGAATGGTATACAAGATTCAGGGTATCTTGGGATCCTTCGCCCTCTCCGGTTCTTGGATATAAAATTGTGTATAAGCCAGTGGGTAAGAAAGCACCTTTATCATCATATAAATGCACTGGAGAGTTATTTGGGTATGAGGGTATTCTTTGTTCCATTCCCTATGGTTAGATTCTACTGACAATTCAGTTGTCATATCAGTCTTCTTTGATCAGAGGTGTTTCTGGAAATAGCACTTTAAGCCAATGATTTCTAGTATCATTGTTACTATGGGTGTAGATGAGATTTTCATGACTAAAAATTTTATCTGGTCCATCAAACTGTGCATATTGAAAATGTTTGTGTTCAGACATCCCATGTGCTATTATGATTATGAAATAATGCATATTTAATCAATACAAACTTCTGTATTTTCCCCACGATGTCAAGGTTTCATTCCTTTTGGGGCATGTGAATTTTAGTTTAATTTATGACAGGCTTGCTTTCAATTTCCCATTGATCCTGGATAAAACCTTTATTAAATTACTTGCTGTGTTTCTGTTTTATCTACATGCTTAGAACAGTGGAAGAAAATACTCTTTGTACTAAATTTGCTAGGGTGTCTTCCATGCACTAGGAATGGCATGAGCTAGAAAATTTTCCTAGAAAAACATAGAGAAGGAAAGAGAAAGGGAAGGTGAGCTTGTGTAAGTAACGGAGAGAGAACTGAAAGAAGGAAGAGATGTTCGTAACTGTGGCCCTTCTGTCACTAAGTTTATGGAATGAGGTCCAAGATGGATGTTCTTAAATCATCTCTACAGTACATTAAAGAGGTTAATTTAGCACCTACTATGGGCAAAGCACAATGCTGGCAAAGGAGGCTCAGAGAAGAGGTCTGTGATTCTAAGGCAGCTGTTTGTGTGACTGATTAACTCATTAAAGGAACAGTGATGACATACCTGCTGCATTCCAGGCACTGTGCTGTGCTTTGACAATTAGAGGGTAAGAATCCAGTCTCTGCTTGCGGTTTTGTATTCACCATATAATGTGGCTTGTGCTACAGTGAGCAAGAGCGTAAGGGGCTTTGGAATTAATGCTGTTGATACTATCATTTGAGTATAAGTTTTAAGGGATTTTGATTTTAAGAAAAATTTGAGATTAGTGATAACATATATCTATGTATTTTCGTGATTGTTATTAAAGGTTCCAATGAGCCCATGGAAGTCTTTGTTGGAGAAGTGACCTCATACACGTTACACAATCTCAATCCCAGCACCATTTATGATGTAAATGTTTATGCTCAGTATGATTCTGGACTCAGTGTCCCCCTGACGGATCAAGGCACTACATGTGAGTCATGTGTCTTTGCATGGTTTTGAGAAAAAGTATAGTACAAATTACCAGGTCAGCCTGTTTTAATATTATTTCTTCTTAACATATGCATGTTTCCACAGAGATAAGTAGGTGATCTTTTATGCCCAGCTAAACAAATCTATAAGTAATATAATTCAATATACAAATATCAGTGTATGATGAGATATGTTTATTTCACAGAAATATTATATTTTGAATTTTGAAAGATTAAAAATTATGATTTCATTTCATAATGAATGATCTGTAGAATTAGAGTTGGGGTGCAAGGAATTTTTTTTGTAGTTTTTCTTGACATTTGATGTTAAAACATCTAGTACCTAAATGCATTGGTTTAATTGAAAGTTTTCCCAGAAATGCCATGATTATTGATTCAGCCCAGACAGAATTTGTTATCACCAAGTGCTTTAATAATCATTTAAGGACTTGGCAGATTGCCTTTTGGAAAAATTTCTTATTTTCCATGAGATGTTTTTGACACTTGTAGTGTTGAGAGGGCCTATGGGATATTTCTTTTCCCTGGAAAATCAGTGATGGAAAGCGAGACCTGTTTTGGCTGCACCACGTTTTCATGTATGTTTCTTATACGGAAACAGCAAGATTTTAGACATTCTTTTTTAGCCAAGTGGAAGTTCTAAAATTTTGTTATGATTAAAAGTATATTTTTCTGCCTTTGTTTATAAAGTAAATCTATTCTCTTTCTTTCTTTCTTTTGCAGTGTATTTAAATGTGACAGATCTGAACCCTTACCAGGTCGGGTGGGACACATTCTGTGTTAGATGGTCACCTCACCGGGCAGCCACCTCCTACAGGCTAAAGCTAAACCCTGCAGATGGTACGTGTGCAGAACAAGAAAAGAACTGGAGCTCATAGAAACATTTTAAAATTCAGTAAAGGAGATGCCATTTTGTTTACAAAATTATGTATAATATGCCTTTAAATGCAATTGAGGATGACACTGGCGTTTTCCTTTGTTGTCATGACCAGGAACGAGAGGACAGGAAATTACAGTGCGTGGATCAGAAACCAGTCACTGCTTCACTGGCCTTACACCAGACACCGACTACGGCGTCACTGTTTTCGTGCAGACACCAAACCTCGAGGGTCCTGGTGTCTCTGTCAGAGAACACACCAGTAAGTGTCTGAGCGACCTGGAACGTCTGTCAGGCGTCAGAATGGAATGCTCTGGGGGGCGGGAGACTTACGACCCCCGAACAGGCACGTCTCTGTATGGGCAGCAGAGATGATGTAATGATGGCAGGTTCTGGGAGGTGGAGTCTGTGGCTGGTTCAGGACCTTTACCTGGAGAAAATCCATGTTGCCCCTGTCACAGAGTTGGTATTATTTTTAAGGAAAGGGCTAGAGGATTGCCAGTGGACAGTGGGAAGTTGATGGGCGTCTATATGATCGACTTCTACTCATTTGACCCTATCTGAAGGCCTTACATTCACCCTTTGAATTTTGGCTTTGCGTTTTGTAGCTATAGTCAATGTTGAATGACTATCAGTGACACCAAATTCGGATACAGTAGAATTCCCAGTGTGTCCGTGCCAATGAGACTTGATCTTGTCACCAAGGATTTAAATCACTCTTAAAATTTACCTTCTGTGTTATGAAATGTGCACATATTGTGTTTCTCTAATTATCATTTTTTAAAATTCTAGCCTTAAAACCAACAGAAGCCCCTACTGAGCCACCCACACCTCCTCCCCCTCCCACAATTCCACCTGCTCGAGATGGTAAGTCCAGTTGATTTGGAAATGTAATAAGTAAGAAGGGATTTGTTGCCTCCTTACTAATGCAGCCTGCACATCGTTTACAATTGATATAGAACATTTTTGATTTATGATTCTGGTTGAAGAGTTTTTAGGATAACAAAGATCGCCAGCAATTTGTTCTCTCCCTCCAGGAGCATTTTGGTGTGAATGGAATCAGTCCTAAACTACTTTAGCTCTTCCATTGGAACTTGTTTTCGTTCATTTGCACAGTGGTTCTCAACCTTCCGAATGCTGCGACCCTTTAATACAGTTCCTCATGTCGTGGTGACCCCCAACCATAAAATTATTTCCGTTGCTACTTCATAACTGTAATTTTGCTACTGTTATGAATCGTAATGTAAATATCTGATATGCAGGATGTATTTTCCTCGTTACAAATTGAACGTAATTAAAGCATAGTGATTAATCACAAAAACAATATGTAATTATATATGTGTTTTCCGATGGTCTTAGGCGATCCCTGTGAAAGGGTCGTTTGACCCCCAAAGGGGTTGCGACCCACAGGTTGAGAACCGCTGATTTTGCAGATTACTGTCTCATGATATCTTACATAGTTCATGGTCACCTGGTGGGCCTTTGTTTCCGGGGGCTGCTGACATCAGTAGGATCCATGAATTTTTTGGCTTTATCTGCAAGCTAACTCCTGCGCCTTTGGGTTTGGAAGTCCTGGTTTCTGACCTGAGAAGTGCCCTGGATTACACAAAGCTAAAACATTTCTATTCACTAAAGTCTGAGGCATAATTGTCACTTGAGAACATTAAAGCTGGTCTCTCAAGTAATTTGGGGCAGTTCTCTGTGCTTTATCAAATTAAGTTTAAACTAATTAACTACTGGTTTATTCCCCCTCGCCCCACATTCTGTTTTCTCAGTTAAACTGAAATCATTTCAGATTTTTAAAGTATTTTCCTTTTATCTTAGAAGGCTCTAGACTGCCACAACTTCTTTAAACCTATTAAATAAGATAAAAGTTAAAAGTATATTTTATAGGGTAAATTATTGTTTTAATGGGTTTCTTGAAATTTAGGTTGTTGAAAGAAATTCAGTAAATAATCTTGGCTTTTGAGTTAATACTTTACTTTTTAGAGCAGTTTTATGTTCATAGCAAAATTGAGCAGAAAGTACATAATGTTCCCATGTATACCCTGTACCCTCACACGCACAGCCTCCCCCAGCATCACCCTCCTGTACCACAGTGGCACATTTGTTACCATCCATGAGCCTATATTGACACACCATTATCACCCAAAATCTATAGGTTATATTTGGGTCCACTCTTGGTGTCGTACATGCTACATGTTAAATTTTTATAGAATAAAATGTTGTTAAATTTTTATTTTCAGATTTTTTTTTTTAGTCTTCAAGTCTGAAGATTCAATGAAAGATATTTATTTTATTCCCTCCCTTCCTTCCCTCCATATAATCATAGTGGCCTAATTTAAAATAAGACACCTTATTTGCACCAAATCTTTGATAAGTATATACAAAATTTCTAATCTTGTTAAATTCTGGACATTGTTGCTTTTCATTTCCTTTCATCCTCATTTATTGCTTGAGGCTACTTGAAGAGTTCCATAAGGAAAGAGCATATATTTGCATAATGGATCTAAATAGGTGGAGTAATTCCAGAGCAGAAATTGAGGGCCAGTTAGATAGTGCCTCTCACACTTTATTGTGAGTAGGAACCATCTGGGCATCTTGTTGCTGATTCTGACTGAGGAACTCTGGGGTAGGGCCCAGGATTCTGCATTTCTAAGAAGCTTTCCCGGCCATGCTATTGCCACTGAACCATACTTTGAGTAGCAAGGTGATAGGCTGCATTTCTCAGTTGTGTAATTTCACTTGAATGAAAGAATTCGTGAGATTTGGAGCTTCCTTTTTCTAATTTTATTTCCCCAGTATGCAAAGGGGCCAAGGCAGATATTGTATTCTTGACTGATGCCTCCTGGAGTATCGGGGATGACAATTTTAACAAAGTTGTAAAGTTCATCTTCAATACTGTGGGAGCCTTTGATGAAATCAATCCTGGTGGAATTCAGGTGGGTGTCTTTTCATGGTGGCTATTCACTTGTAATGTCTTGCTATGTCCTTCGACCTTCTCTTTTTAAGTAGAAAGACTTTTCACTACAAATTATGTTTTGACTTTTGTTATTTGATATTTTCATTACACATGTATTTTTGGGAAGGAGTTGAGTATAAATGGTAAATAAACAGAAAAATAAATATTCCTTTAGGTATTCTCTTTGGCTAGATGATATTCCTATTGAGTAATTTAGGGGGTTCTAACTTCCTGCTTAAAACTCTTACAATGATACACTTCCATGAAAGGTCAGCTGATGTTCTGGAAATTAAATGCATTGTGATAATCACCCTTGTTAAGCCAGCGGAGTCGGTGAGGAATAGTGACTGGAGTGGGTGTGTGGAGCCCTGCTACCCCCTCTGTCATGGCATCCAAGGTACCACCTTGACCAGAAGAACGGCCATTATTGACTCCGAGGGTATTTCATTTTTGTTTTCCTAAAATAGCTACAAATTATATTGCTGTGAAATTACTTCAAAAGTATTTGTTTTACTAAAGTTGGAACTTAGAAAAGGTTATCTTTCCATAAGAGGCTTTGAAGAATAATTCATCATATAGCCATAATTTACCTGTAAATTGGAAAATCTCCTTCACTACGCTCAATAAACCAATGAACTGAACACTTAAGTCCAGTGGCTCTAAACTATGTTTTGGTGAGCCCTTCTTCCCAGGCCCCTCTGAGAATCTGAATAAAGCTATTATTAGTTATTTCTAGGATTCTGTAAACTTGAAGACCCACTTCAAATTCCCCCGTTTCTGGAGTGGCTTTCTTGATGGCTTTAGGCATTCTGTGCTCCTGCAGGATATTGTCTGGGTTACTATATAGCAAGTATCACTTTTTATGGTCATTATTGTGTGCGACTCTCTTCTATCTCACTCATTGACTCCTTAAGGCAAGGGACTATATTGTTTTTTGCTGATGAATTTTTTTCTTTATTTTGGCAGCTTGTACTTTTTCATGTGGCAACTTAGAGACATTATGAAAATAAGAGATTTTGACATAAACCACAAATAATTTCATAAGCAAATCATGTCTTCTTTTATGGAAGAGTACTTTATGGACTATACTAAATTTCAAATCCTCAAATAACCTTGTGGATATTATTCCAACCCAAGAAAAGGAAAAAGTCAGGCCAGTTATACTCTCAATTTAATGTGTCAACAGCTAAGCCAGTTTTCCATCCTTTTAGAAATTTAAGATATCTAATAAAAAATAAAAAAATAGCTATCATATTTTATTAACTTCTCTGTGCCAACTATTTTGCATACATGATTGCTACATGTGTCTTTACAACAATCCTAGAAAGCAAGTATAATTATCTCAATTTTTCTGAGGAGGAAACGAAAGCCCAGAGATGTCAGGAACTTGCCCAGGGTCACATGGCCATTAATTGGCAGAGCTAGGATTTCAGTCCAGCGACTCCTGACTACAAAGCCTGTACTCTTTCCACTAAATCACACTGTCACTAAGTTTGTGATGAGGGCTGATTATTATCACACATGTGATATTTTCGTATTACCCGAAGGAGTGGATGTGGTCAGTGAGAAGGAGCACTTGACTGCAGAACCAATTGCTTAGCCCACATTTGAGTTCAAGAGAGTGTGTTCTCATTGCTCCTCGATTTTACCCATCCCTTCTTATACCCTGGAGAAAGGTGCCACATGAATATAGTATATTTATATGTTCCTATCAATTCTTGTCTATTCATTAAAGATTAGAAATTAACTTCCTGAGCCAGCAGCAGTCAGTGTTATAATACTAGCTTTAAGGAGCTTTATAATACTCTGTCAGGTCTGAGACACTTCCTTTTCCCATTTGGCAGTTAGAGGATTCACTGGAAAATTGAAACATAAAAAGAGATGACTGACTCTCCTCACAAACCGCATTTTCTTTCAGGTCTCATTTGTGCAGTACAGTGATGAAGTCAAGTCTGAGTTCAAGCTGAACACGTACAATGACAAGGCCCAAGCCCTCGGGGCCCTCCAGAATATTAGGTACAGAGGAGGAAACACCAGAACAGGTACAGTTGATCAGAGTGTTTGGAGTGGAAGAACCGAGTGTACCATCTACTTTAACATTCGAATTCTTAGCAGTTGGGCATGGCTAATGGCGCTTGGATAGTTTGCATTGAGGTGACACTAAAATGTTTCATGCCACCCTCTATAGGCAAGGCTCTCACGTTTATCAAGGAAAAGGTCTTGACCTGGGAGAGTGGCATGAGGAAGAATGTCCCCAAAGTGCTGGTTGTGGTCACAGACGGTCGGTCGCAGGACGAGGTGAAGAAAGCCGCTTCGGTCATCCAGCAGTCAGGTGAGCCCAGGCCTGAGCTCCATGCTTAGTGCTTGCACTCATTATGTTAACGGTTTTGAACATTCAGAAATGATTGCAAGAAACCCCAAATTTCTGATTTACTTTATTGTTCCTGTTGAATCTGTATGTCATACTCTTACAATATTAGTTTATGTTTAATTGTGGGATGGTTTGATGATTGCTCAGAAATAGCATGGTGTATAGTCTTTGGGTAAGATGTGATTCAGGGTCTGTCAATGAGCAAACTAGATTTCTCGTGGGGGCTGGAAGGCTGTGGAATGCAAACATGGGATGATCCCAGAGCAGGCTTCCTGCCACAGCAGAAGTGAGTCTTATGCTGGCTTCTGTGCAAGGGGAACAGAGGGAAGCCTTCACTTTAGCACAGCCTGGCAGGTGCAGGCTCAAAGCAGGTTTCTCAAAGGTACACTGCACAGGAGGAACAGCCAGGTCCCAGGGACACGTCTCTGGGGCACATCTTGGCAAACAAACATCCTTAGTGCCTCCTGGCAACACTGCCCTTTGGATGAGTTATTTAGGATTATTAGAGATGAAACAAGGTAATTCCAGTACTTGCATTAATGCCCTCTCTGAAGCCCCCTCAGGTCCCAGGTAGACATATGTTGTGCATTACCTATTGCAGTGATTGAAAAGTACTTGGTTACATGGAACTGCACTGATCTTTTTATAAATTACTGCTACTGTTTTATGCGCTTTGATCAGATTTCAACATATTTTGTGCTCCTAGCTGACTTAAGTTTGGGGTTATGAATACTTACTCCTTATGTTACCTTATTTATACCTAATTATGTAACTCATTCCTTACATAGTTATTTTTTTAACAGTCAAATCAAGCTTTTGGAGTAAAAATTTTACTTGTATTAACCTAAATAAATAAAGTTATTGCTAGTGGGAATTGTATATTTCATTTTACTTTTTAAACATTTCTTTTTTTATTGATTTCAGAGAGGAAGGGAGAAGGAGAGAGAGATAGAAACATCAAATAATGAAAGAGAAACATTGATTGGCTGCCTCCTGCACGCCCCACATTGGGGATCGAGGAATCAAACCGTGACCTCCTGGTTCCTAGGTTGATGCTCAACCACTGGGCCATGCTGGCCGGGCCATATATTTCATTTTAAAAGTGACCAGAATGCTGCCTTTGAGCTTGAGTTTGTTGAGAATCAAATTTTTAAGTGAGCCCATTCCTGGTTTCTGAGTCACGTAAGCTTAAAATGTTAATGGTGCCCAAGAGAGCTGCAGAATTCTTGGGTCTATCAGCACTGCAGAGCTGGGGAAGGAAATGAGCACCACGTTAATCTTTCTGCTCTGAAAATGTTGGCCTTTTGTCAGAATTTTATTCTAGGAAATCCAATTAATTGAATTTTATAATCCAGAAAATAGGAAGACCTGGAGAAAGGACATATTTATATATTTATTTTTAAAGTATATTTTATTGATTTTTTACAGAGAGGAAGGGAGAGAGATAGAGAGTTAGAAACATCAATGAGCGAGAAGCATCGATCAGCTGCCTCCTGCACACCCCGCACTGGGGATGTGCCCACAGCCAAGGTACATGCCCTTGACCGGAATTGAACCTGGGATCCTTGAGTCCGCAGGCCGACGCTCTATCTACTGAGCCAAACCAGTTAGGGCGAAAGGACATATTTATTAAGGAGAGTTTGTGTCAGTTAAAAGGACGTGCTGCACACACTGAGGAAATATAGCATTGATTCTGATAAGATTTTACTTTGAGTTGTTTAAACAATAAAAGACAGGGAAAGGGCTATGTAATTCACTCTGTAAACATGCTTTTCAGGGTTCAGTGTCTTTGTCGTTGGTGTGGCTGATGTGGAGTACAACGAGCTTGCCAATATTGCTAGCAAACCAAGCGAGCGGCACGTGTTCATTGTGGATGACTTTGAATCTTTTGAGAAGATAGAGGACAACCTCATCACATTTGTCTGTGAAACTGCCACCTCAAGTAAGTCATGGTCCACATGGGACCATAATCTCACTTGTTTTGAAAAATAACTACTTGGTAGGCCATTCCCTGTCCTATATGGGATCAAGCCTGTGCATAAATAGATCCTGGAAAATCCCTTGAGAACCCGATGAGTCATTGTTCCTATTGAGATTGTGCTAAGTGTGTGCTTGACAGAGGTCCATTTTAAGCTTTGAAGATGTAATATATTCCTTATATGGAAATAAAGTGTCTTAATACATCCTTTCCCCACCATCCCAATGCCTGTGACATTTGAGTAAATTAGTCTTCAGCTTTGGGAATGCGTTCATAGAAGCATTACTGTGAGATGAAGGTTTGCCCCTATTAGTGATCAATTGGTGTTTGTTCTGTCAACATCCGGGCTTCAAGGGAGCAATGAGAAAACTGACTTGTATATGTCATGTGTGCTCCATAGAAATTTATTTGGTTCCCATTTGTCTTTTTGGTTATAGATTTTTCTCCTTATGCCAAGATCTCATGTTCAACTTTTAAAATACAGTGAAGGTCAAAACGTCCATTATTTTTGTCAATTTATCCTCTTCCCCATCCATTAACACTGAGTCTTGGAGCATTAGATTATGGAGGCAGTTGTGCAGCTTGTCTAGACTTTTGATCCTAGGCAGGGCTATGATTTGTAAGTGTTACAGTTTCCCCTATTAAACATTATATTAAATCCTCAGAGATCTGGGAGAGATGGCAATAGTAAACAATGGTCAATACTTTACTGTGAAACTGACCTTGAAACTCAGAAAGGAGCTGTCCTGGTGCCAGGTGGGCAGAGGGAACTACAGTTGTCGCATGTCCACTCCCAGTGGTCCTGAAAGCCACTCTGGGATTCCTGGCTCTGGGGGCCCAGTGTGAAAACCGCTGTAGACGTGTAATTGTTACATGATGTTTGGTAGGCATGCTTGGCAGAGGATAGAAGAGAGTTGGATGGCAACATACTCCTCTTGCCTTTGCAAAAATCTGAAATTCCCCGGGTGGGAGAAAAAAAAGTTCTTTAAGCTATTTAAAAACATCTGAAATTCCCCCTTTAATTGTATTTTACTATTCTTAAAAACATTGTAGAATTCTAATTGGGTTGGAGAATGTTCAGAAGACATTGCTAATACTGGTCAATAGTATAATTTCTTCTACACATGGGAAGTCTACAAGAAATCTGTTATAAAATAATTAGATCAATGTGAGTCTTTATAAATGCATGAACAATTTCATTATTTGATATATGTACATCGCTGATTTGTGTCTATATACAATGTTTGCATATTGCGTTGGTGAATCGTACTTAAAGAGCACTGTCTATTGCAGATTGCCCTCTCATTTATTTGGATGGCTACACCTCACCAGGTAAGCATTTATAAACGTGGGCTAATTTGTTTCAGGGTTCAAGCCAAAAAATAATTTAAATGACCTCACTTCAATATTTCATTTTCTGTCGTAAAGGTTTTAAGATGCTTGAAGCATACAACCTCACGGAGAAGAATTTTGCTTCCGTCCAAGGCGTCTCTTTGGAGTCAGGGTCTTTCCCCAGCTACTCCTCCTACAGGCTTCAGAAGAACGCCTTCGTCAATCAGCCCACAGCGTGAGTGTGACAGCAGGCGGGTCTTTTTCTGACAATGATGATTTCTGAGGCTCTTGGAATCCTGGAACTTTCGATTGGTCAGAAGACTCCTTACGAACGACCTAGCTTAATTTCCGTCAATGCAGTTGGGCTAAGTGTCTTCCCCCAGGTCACACAGGAGATGAGGACTCCAGCCTTGGTCTCCTCAAGCCTCAGCATCTCATCCAGGTTCTGTAGGATTATGGATTCCTGGCCCTTTTGAATTCAAGGCGAGGATCATAGCTCTGCTTTTGCTAAGGGAGGCTGTTTAAACAGGAAGGCGATTTCTTATTTGGAACGCTGCTCCCCGTGGTGCAGAGGGACTGCTGCAATAGGTGCAGGAGGAGAGCAGCATTCTTTTCAGGGTTTCAGAACCTCCAGCAGATGAGAGCCCTCGCAGCTCTGCTTGTCCGAGTCCCCGGGGCAGCGGTTGATTTTTATTGGCCGCTGCTCCCATGATCTGCCGGGGAGCTCTAGAGCAGTGGTTCTCAACCTGGGCTGCACATTAGAATCACCTGGGAATCTTTTTTAAAATCCTGATTTCTGGGCCCCATCCTCCGGAAATTCTGTTTCTTTGTTGCTAACGTTGTGGTCCCACCCCATAACAAAGAAACAGAATTTCCGGAGGACGAGGCCCAGAAATCAGGATTTTAAAAGGATTCCCCATTGATTCTAATGTGCAGCCAAGGTTGAGAACCACTGCTCTAGATGTTGTTATTTTATACTCCATGCAAGTTTGCACCTGGGAACGATAACCAAAGTATGTATTTTTTATTCATTAGAATGGAAACATTTTAATCTTGAGAAATATGTGTTTGGCAGCTTAGAGAGCGAAAAGAACACGCAGAAATAAAGCTTTCAGTAACTGAGGACAGGGTCAGAAAATGCTGTCTGAAATGTGAAACGCTCTGGGAAAGCTGACGGAAAATTCAGACTTAAACCGAAACTAATTTCTTTTAAGGAAGCAGAGATCGTATTGTAGTGCGGCCACACTGAAGTTCCTAACTCTTTGATGGTCAACCAGCCTGGTTCCCAATTTTAGGTTTTTCAGTAAACCTTCAGATCCAGCGTTTAACTCTCAGTCACCCCAAGATTTGATACCTACCTTTAAAAGATTTTTTAAAAATTGATTTCACAGAGGAAGGGAGAGAGAGAGATAGAAACATCAATGATGAGAGAGAATCACACAGGGGATCAAGCCCGAAACCCGGGCAGTGTCCTGACTGGAAATTGAACCGTGACCTTCTGGTTCATAGGTCGACGCTCAGCCACTGAGCCACCTCGGCTGGGCAATACCTACCTTTTTACTCATGATAGCCTATTGTCCTCTCATGAGTCAGAGCTT